CTCGCGCTTCCGTCCATTATATATTTATAGTTTGCGAGCGCATGCGGATATTTCGGAATGTTTCTTCGGCGCAGCTCGCGCTTGAAAGCGACGTGTATAAACTCGAGAGTGAAGTAACACGGCGTTGCGGAAGAAACGAAGAACGGCGGGCTCTCCGGACTCCGGACGTTAATTGCGGTGACAAACGTCGTCTCCGAAGTTCGGCGCGGCACTCGGCCGGTTAAATTGATTCCGTTCGCGACGTCGCGAATGATTTGCCGACGGTTCCCTGCGTTATGCGCGACAGCTGCCACGCGGAGAGAAACTCGTCACTAACTGTCCTCTCCGGACCTCCGCTGCGCTCGCTGCTTCGCTTTTCTCCTTTCAGCTTTCGGCGCGCCGATTAAAACGCGTCACGTCCATCCGTCTTCGCGCGCGCACGCACACATACCAGGTATGTAAATATGAAACCGGAATTTTTGTACAGAAAATACACGTTTATTGTATGAAAATGATAAAAAATATTTTATTCGAAGTATTGCCCATCGCTGGCTAAACATTTTTCCCACCTGTCTGATAATTTGTGGATGCCACGCCAAAAGAACTGTTGCTCTTTTGAGGCAAACCAGTCATCGAGCCATTTTCGTACATTTTCGTAAGAAGTGAAGCGTTGCTCAGCAAGTGCGCGTCCCATCGATGCAAATAAGTAGTAATCGGACGGAGCCAAGTCTGGTGAGTAAGCCACATGCGAAAGTATTTCCCAACTAAACGCCTCGATCATTTCTTTCACCAGTTTTGCTCTGTGTGATGGTGCATTATCATGAAGCAAAATCACTTTGTGTTGCCTTTTTTGATATTCTGGTCGTTTTTCACGTAAAGCTTGATTCAAATCGATCATTTGTTGTCGGTAGCGTTCAGTATGAACGGTTTCGCCAGGTTTTAGCAGTTCATAATAGATCACACCCTTCTGATCCCACCAAACACAGAGCATTGTCTTCCGTCCATAGCGGTTTGGCCTTGCAGTCGATGTCGATGGTTCGCCTGGAGCTACCTGGATGATCTTTTGCGCTTAGGATTCTCAAAATATATCCACTTTTCATCGCCAGTCACAATTCGATGGAGAAGTGACTTTCTTTTGCACCTGGCGAGCAGCATTTCGCAAGTGGTTTTTCGGTTTTCCTGCTGTCTTTCATTCAGTTCATGTGGAACCCATTTTCCCATCTTCTGGATCTTTCCCATGGTTTTCGCAAACGTACGGAGACGGCTTCTCGTGTCACATTTAATTGATCCGCGAGTTGTTGTTGCGTTTGAGCGTCATCCTCATCCAACAATGCTTGCAATTCGCTGTCTTCAAAGTTTTTCGGTGATCTTCCACGTTCTTCGTTTCTCACGTCAAAATCGCCACGTTCGAATTTTTTAAACCACTCAAAGCACTGTGATTCACCAAGAGCATGCTCAGCCGTAAGCTTCGACAAGCATTCGATGCGATTCTGCGGCAGCTTTCTTCAAATGGTAACAGAAAATCAATGCTGTCCGCAAATCGTAGCTTCCAGGCACAAAATTCGACATGTCCAACGCTATTACAAACTATGTTGTTGTATGAAACTTGTATTGTTGTGAGTTGAAAATCTTTGTCAGATGTCAACAAATGGAAATGGCGCAAATGACGCGGTTTGACGGTAACTACATTGACAGCTAGGGGCCATCTATGGGCAAATTCCGGTTTCATATTTACAGACCTGGTACATGTATGTCGCGAAGATCGTTCGTTCGCGCCGATTCTCCTTGCCGCTGGATAAACGTCGCCGACGCGCAACACGCGTGACTGGAGCTGCTGCGTTCGCGAAATTTTGGACCGAGCGCGGATCCTCGGCTTCCTCGTGCATTCAACTTTCCGCGAGCGAGCGAGCGCGTTCCCACGCGCCCGACCGAATTTACTTTCGCGTTATATTTACTCGTTCGCGCTGACGCTGCTATCGATGCGTTCGAGAGCCCGTTCTCGCCCGTTCGTCCCGGAAGCCGGCCGGCCGGCCGGCCGGCCGGTTTCATAATCGGCCGCGTCGATTTTCTACGTATTTATAAAAGCAGCAAGCCAACTTAAGCCAGCATCCGCGACTTAAAAGTAGCACGTCGAATCGAATCCGGGCACTTGTTCGATAAATCGCCGCTCCGCCGCGGCTGCAGGATAGAAACGATCGAACAGTTTACACCGTCGTACTTTTAAAATAGCGCCGAGGTCGGAGCGACAGCTCGACGGTGATCGCGCTGCGCCGCTACGATCATCGAACGGATCGTAGATCATTCGCTGGGTATTATTGCCGGCGCAGGTCGCCTTGGGGCCGCGCGCGATTCCGCTGGAGGAGTCTGGAAATACGCGCCACCGACACCCCAAGGTTTCCCCGAGCCGTCGAGCGCGGCGGCTCGCCTTCGGAACGATAACGAGAATTATAGCGACGACGGGGACGACGTCGACGGCGCGCGCAATGATTCGCGAATGATTCGCGCCAATCTAGCGTTTCGCGCGATCCGAAAATACACGTTTCGCGGGATATTTATACGGCGCGCGTCGCGTGGCGCGCGCTCTTTTATTCGCGCTATGTTGTGCCGCGCTCGCGGGCGAACACCGACGTGAATACCGACAAACCAAGTTTGCTGCCGCAAATCGCCGCGCGAAGGGCGCACTTGGCAGGGAACACACGTGCCGCCGGTACGAATTAGCGGCCGGCGGGATTGAATTTCTTCGGTTCTGTGTTGCAGCAACAGGGTGTTTGGGAAGTCGGTGTCTTCATCAACCGCGGCGGAAACAGATCGCCGCCGTCCTCGCGGTAACGGATCGCCGCTGAAATTATTGCCGTCACGTGTCGCCCCGCGCGTGCGACAAAGTGGACCGTAATTTAGCCGGTCCGCTTTAAATGAGGCGCCGACGCCGCCGCTCCTCGCTCGCGCTTACATGCAGAATCGCGGCGCTAATTGCTAATTTCCACCAGGGGAACCGGTCGCCGACTTGCCGAACGCGACTTCTTTCGGCGACCAGAAAGAGAAAGAAAGGGAGACTGAGCTCACGATTATGACCCACCCCCTGTCCTCTCATTTGCTCGGAAAATCCCGGCCGGTTCGATACCGCTGATAAAGCGCCGATAAACCGCCCGTCATTCACGCTTAATGAGTCCTTTGGTTAATTCAGCGGAACACCGACACTCCGCGGCCGTGCTTAAGCCAAGAATTTTGCAATTTTCATCGGTATGCGAACGGTATTCCCCCCGTCGCCCCGGCATCGCTCGGCGCGCAGCTGTCCATTTGTCCGGATACGTTCGCTCGACGACGACGAGACTACGCGCGAGAAGTATTCCTCCCCGAAACGGAACTGACTTTCTCCGCGCGGAGGAGCGTAACGCGAAACGTCAGACAATCTTCACATGCTCCGAGCGCGCTCTGATATTAATAATCTCGCTTCCGCGATCTCGCGACGAAATCACGCGCGAACGCGACCGCGTGACGGGAGAGAGGGTGAGAGCCGCGAAGATCGAGACGGCGATGTGTTTTTCCACGTCGATTCGGCGCGCGAGTGACGCGCGGAATCGCGGATTCGCGGAGACGAGAACGTCGTCGACGTCGACGTCGACGGCGACGGCGACGTCGGAAGGCGCGAATCAGCCGGCGAACGGCCCGATCGCGAACGGACGGCGCTCGTCAGTCGCTCGCTCGCCGAATTTACGCGCCGCTTGTCCCGACGAGAGACGGAGAGAGATAGAGAGAGAGAGCTGCCAGTTCTAAAATCGTCGTCCTGACAATGACGTAGAAGCCGCGGCCATTCGTTTCGGCCGAGGCGATCATCGCGAGCGCGCTTCGACGGGAAAGCGGAAAAGCGGCTGCAATCGCGAATCGTCGCGATCGCCGATTTTCGCGCGTTCACGGCACGTAATAAGCGGCTTTGTGTGATGGGCGCGGAACGATAAGTAAACAATGGCCGCTGCTCGGCGAATTGTGCGTGCGCGTCCACTCTTACGCACTCGGCCGGTGAAAATGTTGCGTGCTCGCTTCGATTAGGTGCATGAATAATAAACACCGGCGGAACGGTCCACCGGCTCGCTGGACCCGCGACAATTCGCACCGTTCGTGCCGTTTGAGCGCGGCTTTGATCGCGGCTGAATCGCAAATGCGACGCGATCACGATGGATCGGCACGAATAGCTCGCGAGTGCGATCGGCGCGAAAGCGCCGCGGGAGAACGCGTGATCCTCCTCGTTTGCGTGCGCTCGCACGCTGGTCCGATCGAACTCGTCGAGCACGGGGGATTCTCGGGGGAGCTTCCACTCCCTCCCCCCCCCAAGTTCTCGCGTGTCTTTGCACCTCCGTCGGATTCCGGCGGCTTCGCGATCTCACGTTCGGGTCCGGAGACACGGCATTCTTGCCGCGAAACAATGCGCTTGCGAGATCGCTGCGCGTTTGTCGCGCGAAAGATCGCCGATCTCTGTCTCTCGGCTTCTAGACTCTCGACTTTCCAAGTCCTCAATTTCTCTGATGTCCTTTAAATCATACTCGCGCTCACAGTTTCTTCGAGAAAATCTCGAGTGTCGACTCTCAACCTGCACTCCAACATGCCAGATTTCGAGCGTCTTTGAAATTAAACGCCAATCCGAATTTCTCGGACATTCTACGTATCGACTTTCGCAACTCCCAAGAGCCCGAATTTCGCGAATGCCTCTTCGGTGGAATTTTCAAGCGTCTCTCTCACGCGAAATGTCCCATCCCAATTTCCTCAACATCTGGAATATTTCTGGAAGTGTGTGTGTGCGCTCTCGTGGATAAAAGGAAACACAACACGCGCCTCGTACGTATTTTGTATTACAAGCGGCGGGGACGAGCTCGCGCGTGTTCTCGTCCAAGTCCCCCGTGCACGATCAGCCAACGCAGAGAGCAGCGACGGATAAACGCCCACGCCACGGCGCCGAGACGAGAACTCGGCTTGGCTCATCAGATGATCACACGGGCGTCGTGTATCGTCACCGTCGCCGGGCTTACCTCTTGGATTTTGTAGCTGGTGCGGACGGTCTTGCGCCTGGTGGTGGTGACCTCGTAGGTCTCCTCGACGGTGGGCGCCTCGTCGTCGTCGTCGCGTCGACCTCCGCTGTTCACCATGTCGCCGTCGCCGTCGCTGGTCCTCACCAACGCGTCGGTTCCGTCCATCCTGGCGTTCCGCGCGCGCGCGGTATCCGCTTCCAAGGATCTTCAAGGCTCAAGCGTGGGCTCAAGGCGTCCGCGGGTCCGTGGGTCGCGGAACTCGCAGACAGGGCACCGTCTCAGGGGTCTCGGCTGAAAATCGAAGATCTCGCTCGCTAGCGAGGGCAACACCACCCGGTCTCCGCTGGCTTCTCCTCTGCACGCCGAGAGAGAGAGAGAGAGAGAGAGAGAGAGAGAGAGAGGGAGAGAGGGAGAGAGAGAGAGAAAGAGAGAGAGAGAGAGCGCCGTTCGTCCGATTTCGGGACGCGCAAGCGGAAAACTTTTACTGCCGCGAGACGGAACTATTCCGGGCGTGCAAGTTCCGCGCGAAGCGGAGAGGCTGGCGGTACTAAAGCACCGCGCGCGCGCCGCGCGGAAACCCGCCCGGCGGACGGGAACCCGCGCGCGCTCGCCTTTCCACGGCGAAAATAGAACCTCATGTTCTTTCTCCCGCAGGAAAGGACCACGAAACGCCGTCTCGGCGGCGGCGGCGGCGGCGGCGGCGGCGGACGCGCGAGAATCTCGCGCGTCTCGGGCCATCGGCGAACTACGATCTTCGACGACGCCGATAAATCACTCGTCGCACCGCGGCGTGTCTGCGGTGCGTCGCGCGAGTCGCAAATCGCGGAAAGCGCCGTGAGATAACGCAGACTTGTGCGCTCGAAGGTGCCAGGTGGACGGATTAGCTCTGGGGGAACGGATGAGATGTGCGAGGACTCAAGGATACGAGGATTCATAATTGTCGGGGACTGTGGATCCGCGTGCTCGGTGCTTCGAAGACGGAGGAAGTCGCATAACGCGTTGAACGCGCGACGTAAAAACGACTAAAAATCGTAGAACGCATCTCGCACACAATCGCATATCCCCAAGCGCAGACGTGCGTAATAAAATCTATTTATTCAATAAAATACATATCTCTGAAAATCCGTCGACGCGCAACCAACAGCATAGTATAACAATAGTGTATACATAACAGTAGTGCAATATAGCGTACCTGATAATCCATAAAGATTTAAAAAAGCGCGCGATACAAAATTACGCGAGCTCTATGGGCGTCGAGGTCGCGGCCCTGAAGCACGACGACGATTTCCTCCGGATAATTAGCCTCTCTCATCGAACGATCGATTTTATCTGAGTTCCCTGAGTTTCCTACTTCGCACAAGCCTTTCTATAAAAAAAAAATGGCACAACGTTCAGGAGATTAGATGAGACCAGTCTTGCGTACCGATACTTTTCGGTTTGGCGTGAATCCCGTTTGTGAGTGTGTCGCGTTTGAGGGAAAAGAAAGAAAGAAAATAGGAGAAGATAAGGAAGGACCGACGTACGCGAGGGTCTAAAAGGTTTACGAAATTCTTGTCCGTTCCAAGCTCTCTTCCGTGCTCAGTCGTATCAGTTCTGCCGGCCGATAAACACCGACTTCGGTGATTATGCCGGCGATCAGATGCGCCGGTGTCACGTCGAACGCCGGATTCCAGCACTGTATGCCCGGCGCCGCGATCCTCTGATTTTTTATGTGCGTCATCTCGCGCTCGGGTCGCTCCTCGATAACGATCTGATCGCCACTGGCTATCGCAAAGTCTATGGAGGTGCGCGGCGCGGCCACGTAGAAAGGAACACCGTGGTGCTTCGCGAGGATCGCGATCTGCAATCGAAGAGGAAACGTTCGCGTAAATAAGCCGACTTCTTATCGTCCGTCGTCGTGATTTTCGCCTGACACTTGCCTGATAAGTGCCAATCTTGTTGGCGGTGTCGCCGTTCGCGGCGACCCGGTCCGCGCCCACGACCACTGCTGTGATCTGCTTGCTCTTCAACAGCGCGGCGACCATGTCGTCGCAGATTAGGGTCGCCGGTATCTTATCGTGCACCAGCTCGTAGGCGGTCAGACGGGCGCCCTGATTGTACGGTCTCGTCTCGGTGCAGTACACATGATCTGAAAGCAGATAGATAGTAGCTCGTAGACAAGTGGAAACGCGAGCAGGGTCTGATAACTAGAAAGCAACGGCGAGACTATACCCACCGAGTTTCTTCCTTCTACGGAGAGACCTGATGACACCTAGAGCGGTGCCATATCCCGCGGTGGCGAGACTGCCGGTGTTGCAGTGCGTGAGAATCCTGATGAAGCTGTCCCGGGGTACGCTGCGCAGGATCTCGTCCGCGCCATAATTACCGATCGCCTGGTTGTCCGCCACGTCTTTCTCCAGCATGGCAACTATGGTATTTATGAATCTATAACGGGGATGTTTAAGCTGGAGTATAAGAGCGCCATTCCTCTCTGTGGCACCCGTGACTCACGGCCACCACGTTCGCGGGCACGTCTACCTGCGTGTACATACCTGTCTTTCATCTCGCACGCTGTGACCTTGTCGTTTTCGCTGAGGCTGTTGACCAGCGTGATGAGCTCGTCGGCCGCCGTCTTCATGTTAACGGCGGTCGGACGCGCTGACACCAGGTAGTTGAGCTTACCCTCGACCTCATGGCGGAAGCGTTTCTTATCGGTGATATTTTCGGGCAGTATCTCGGTCGCCAGGCTGAGGCAGCCCACGATTGCAATGGCTGGTGCACCACGTACCTACGCACACGTTCGTCGAATTGACCATGAAAGAGAAGTGCGTGCGCGTTTGCGGTCATGTCGGAGGACAGGTTTGTATACAATCAGTGACGGAAATATCGGGATATATCTACTTTCTCGATAATCTCGCGAAATAATCCGCGTCCAATAGGAAGAACCGTTCGCTAGGTGACGAATTTTCCTATTGGACACCGAATACGCTCCGAAGTTCATCGCGACAGAATGATGCAACTTTTTTTTCACCGGCCGTCTCTCTCTCTCTCTCTCTCTCTCTCTCTCTCTCTCTGTTTTTCTCTTTCTCTCGCTCTAAGACTCCGCCGCTACACGCCGGAGCGTCTCGTTACACAATTATCTCTCCTCGATATTCGTGTTGACACAAATCGCGCGAAGAGTCGCCGAATAAAAAGGCGTTGCAAGCTTCCCGCCGCCAATTACATACGTTATACACGCACACGCAACGCACACACATACACGCGCGCGCGCGTGCACATTCCTCTTCGTATCTGCGCAACCACAAACAGTCGGCTAAAGCAAATAAATTTCGAGCTCGCAAGCTGGATGATGAAACGTAAAAAAGATACAGTCGTTATACAATGGTAAATATTGACAGTATCGAGAGGCTTAATCAAGGCGACAGAGTAGGAGGAAGAGGGAGAAGGGGGATCAGGAGCAGCATGCTGTCCGTGCATCGACTCGTGCGTTCGATTCGCGAGCCGACGCGTCGCAACGATCGTCGAAGCCGTTAATGACGCGGCGATCGTCCGGCGACGTTCCGGGTGGGACGAGGCCGGTCGCGTCCGAGATTGTTACCTGCATCTTGTTGATCGCGTGCCAGCCGTCCTCCACGCCGTTGATGAGGACGGAGCGCGTAGTCTCCGGCAGCAGCGTCTGGTCCAAGATCTCCAGCCTGCCGTTGTCCCATGTGATCGCCTGCAGCGTCATCGTCGAGATGCCGAGATCGCGAAAGCGACGAGCGTGCCAGAAGGGAGAGAGAGAGAGAGAGAGAGAGAGAGAGAAAAGAAAGAACGATCGCCTTGGCGAACGGGAAACGCGGATGATGGAACGCGACGTGACGGCCCTTGTATTTTAAAGAACGGAGTCACAATGGCGGACGACATCGATCGAGGCCGAGGGAAACATTGTAGCTGCGGGCCTCGACGTGCGAATCCATCTCAGCGGCGCGCCGCCATCTGTCGGCCATCTGTCGAGTCGTAACGACTAACGATGCGCGCTCGTCTTTCTCTCTCTCTCTCTCTCTCTCTCTTTCTCTCTCGCACTCACTCGTGTAGTTCGACTCCGCCGCCGCGCAGTCGCCGACTATATTTCCGCCACTCATCTTCGCAGCTCGCTGTCTTCTCCTCGCCACCTCCGCGCGCCAAGACTCGGATAATGTTATTCTCGCCGGGCGTGTTGCGTAACGCTCTTTGATAACGGTCGGACGAGAGGAGATTGCCGAGCTGGAGTCGTGTTTTGAGCGCTCATTCCAACCAGAACATGGAGCTGATAGCCGCAAGGCTGCAAAGTAGCCGTGACGCGACTCAATTTCTACTCGCGAGAAATATGATCGGTTCCGCGAGCGGGAGAGAAAGAGAGAGAGAGAGAGAGAGAGAGAGGCAGGAAGGTAGAAAGATATGAAAATCCTTCGAACAAACAATTACCTGTGTCAACAGCCGCGTCCATTGAACGAAGCGCCCCCTGACGTTCGATACGTCGTTCGATAGGTCGATAAGTCAGGACCGATAGATCGCTCTCGAGCGTTCGCTTGAAGGAACATGGCGCGCGCGTTGTGCTCTAATTAGACTGATTAAGAATCTTTTCCCTGTCTAAATAGAGCGCTGGGACATTGCCGGAGGGAAAAGTCGAAGACATCTCTTTTTTAATTTATCCGTTATTATTATTACGGACAGAATAATAACGAGCCTCGTCTGGCTTGCTTCATCAAGGGAAATCCTCGGAGAGGTAAGAAGCGAATCTTTCGCCGTCCGGAGCCGTAAGTTTAAACACTCCGCATTTTGCAGACATCGGATATTGCATGCTGCTCTTTCTCATCCAAATGTATATTGTTAATTACCGCGTCTTTCTCTCCCACTCTGTTCTCTCCGTGAAAATCGATACGAGCGTGAGCGCGCGTTCGCGTCGAAAGGATCGCGCGCTCTAATCGATCGAACGAATTAAAGACAAAGAGCGGAAGCTCTCGTTCCGCTGAGCGAAAACGGACCGCGATCGTCACATATCGCGTTTAATGGGATTTATGCGAGTATTATCGTCGCCAGCGACGAACGTGGCGAACGTTGAAAGGAGAAAACCGGCCCGGGCGAGCGAGTCGCTCCGAATCGCTCGCCCGAAAACGTTCACGACTTATTTTCGCTATTATTTTCGGCGGAATTGCAAATTCACGTGTAACGCACGTAGAACGGCGCATATCCGATGGGCCGCGTCGATCGTTTTACTTCCAGCTCACGTACGCCGTAAAGTCTGGGGAGGTTAGCGAGAGAGAAGGACGCGCGTCGCTCAGCGTGCGCTGGAAGACGGCGCGAAAACGCCGCACAGCTTCGAGCAGCCACGAGTACCACGTCTTTTCTATATCTCGTCCGTTCCTTTTCCTCCAACGACAACGGAAGTCGCGGATCACCCGATCCGGTTCGGCGCTCGAAATCATCCCCGGCCGTAACTTCGTTTATCGCACGCGACGAAATTTCCAAGTGGAACAAGTCGCACGCGATCGTGGGAGAACGAGAAACATCGCCGTGCAAATCGCGCAATTAGAATCGCGGCTCTTGGACGTAAGTTGTAATGAGAGGAGTTGATCAGCGTGTTGATACGAGCGAAACATTTTTCAGACAGTTCGGGAGACTTTTGAATCGAGCTGAAAAAATGGCGGGATTTATATCGCGTGATATATCCAGGAGACTTCCCGACCCGGGAATTTGTCGAACATCAGTCGATTCCGAGAATCGGAATTTCGCGATCTCGCCAGGCGAATTTTCGCATCTTCCATGCTGATCCTGTATTGTCGTTTCGAGATATTCGAGGACTCGCAGCCGACTCTCTCGCTCTTGCCCGTCGGCAGTCCATAGACATAGGAATATAAGGACAGAGCATAAGCCCGTAAGATAGGCGAGGGGAGTTGTGCTGAAATGTGTGGGAGGGGGGGGCGACTGTGTTTAAGTTTCATTGGCTACAATAGTGCGCATATTCAGAGCGTGTGATGCGACGACTTGGCTGTCATTGGCAAATAATAAATGTAACTGTTCGAGAGTTCGATTAATTTCAGTCTTTAAATGCGACCGAATTATTGCGATTTGGCCGAATATTCTCGGCGCTGTCGGATACGACTTAGGTTGATCGATATCGTGAAGAGAAATCGATCCCAACCAAATACAAACATCCAAGCAATAGCTGGCGAGCCAACTAGGTAGATCTATTATAATTCGAATTATGTTTATCTTTTCCTCGTCACGCAACAGTTGGACAACAGTTTCTAGCAAATTCTACCGCTGATATCGCGCCGAGAATATAGTGGCTGATCGCCAAGGGATTCAGCATATGCGCTAATGATCCGCTATCGAGCACATCGTGTGCTCGTGTAGTTGGTTACTCTCGACGCCTGATTCGACGGGTCGGACAGGCGAACTACGCCACTATTGCAAAGCGGCGGCGCCGGATTCCTTTCCGTGGCGGAATTCATCGGTTTTCTTTGAATTTGTATTTTTTTTTTGTAATAACGAGTTACTGCCGCGCTCTCACTCCGAGCTGACCGTCGCCGTGCTCGCGATCGCCTGTTCGTCCGCGACCGCGACAAGACCATCCGGCGTTCGCGAGCAAGATCTCCGGTCGCGGAGTAGCGCGAACCCGCTCTCAAGGGCGGCTCAAGATCTCCGTTGTTCCCCTCAATTTCGACGGTCAGCCCGCGGTGAACCCGTCCGGTAGCGCGGCTATCTTTGGTGGTGAAATTAAACGGTGGAAAAGCACTTCGAGCCTTCATTTGGATTCTTTCTTGGCCATCTGTTCCTCCAGCCTCCGCTTCATTCGCCCGTTGGTCTATCGATCTCGTTGCTCAGCGCTGAGCGATCCCGGCGGTCGCGGCGCGGCCGATCGAGCGGGTTAGGTTAGGTTAGGTTAGGCGAGCGGGAAGATCGCGCTCGCAAACAGTAACAAATATGATAAGAACTATTTACACTGACAGTATTTTGCAGAGGTTATGCGTGTGTCTTTTTTTCATAATTTCACTCACACACAACTTCATACACATCTATGTATTAGGTGTACAAATGAATAATCCAATTTTTTCAGCTACATTCAAGGTTTATTTTAAAAGAAAGTAAATTAAATTGTTCAATCAAAGTATTCGCCGTTGCTTTCTATAACTTTAAGCCATCTTTCAGGCAGCTGATGAATTCCATCTCGGAAAAATGTTACGTCTTTGGACACGATAAAGTCGTCAAGCCATTTTCGGATCTCATCCACTGATTGGAAGTGCATGATCGGACAAGGCGTGTTGCATCGACCGGAACAAGTGATAATCGGATGGAGCAATGTCTGGTGAATACGCCGCAAGTGCTGCAAGACGTCCCAGTCAAGACTCATTATGGTGTCTTTTGTATTGGAAGCAATGTGTGGCCTGGCGTTGTCATGCAACAATTTCACTGGACGTTCTCCTTTGCCAGTATACGGGCGTTTTCCAATTCTCCAATTCTTGACTCAAGCAGATTAATTGACGTTGGTAGCAGTCCGCAGTAACTGCCGAGTTTCATCCGGTTCCAACAACTCATAATAAAGCACGCCCTTGATATCCCACCAAATGCAGAGAAGAACCTTCTTCTTTCCGAAGCGATTTTGATGATTCGCCGGGATTTACCCATGACTTTCTGCGTTTCGGATTGTCATAGAGTATCCATTTCTCATCGCCCGTAACGATTTTCCACAAGAAAGCTGCTTTCGACGCTGCTTATTGAGAAGAGAAAGACACGCTGCCCACTCGTGGATTTTTGTTGGTTTCAGTGAGTTCATGCGGTTAGGCACCCATTTTCCGTCTTTCTGTATCTTTCCCATCTCACGTAGGCGTTTGGAAATCGTTTGCTGCGTTACTCCCAACTGTTCTGCAAGCTCTTTTTATATTTGTGCCGAATTCTCAGCGAGCAGTTATTTCAAATCATCATTATCGCACTTCGTAGGGCCTCCAGGGCGTTGTTTGTCGATTAGACTGAAATTTTTTAAACCGCTTTTGAACCGCTTAAACCAAAATGCGCACACATCGTACGATACAACACCTTCGCCGAGAAAGGAACAAATCGATTCGCATGCTCTTGCAGCATTTTTTCCTTGTTGGAATTCGTAAAGAATGCGGTGTCGGATATGCACCTTATCTGTTGCCATTTTCGACTGTACCGAACTGAATACTTTTGAAGATTATGTTGGGCCTTTCGCCAAACTATATGTTCTTTTTAATAGCTATATGTCAACATTGCATAATCACAAAAGAGCGGGAAAATCTATTCAATTTAAAATTGATTTCACAACTGCTTAAAATAATTTGGATTATTCATTTGTACACCTAATATGTATGTAAATACTTACACACGGCACAACCACCAATTAGATTTAGGCACAGCTTACCTCGTCGCACCGCGCAGCAATGGTTATCCCCACGCAACTCTATGCTCCGTCCCTATATTCCTGTGTCTATGCGACAGTCTTACCTTTCATTCTGCTCGGCCGCGCAATATTTGCATACTTCGCATACACGTGGACGTTATCTGGCGCGTATGTCACGACTGTTAAGCGGGTTTCTTTCGACAATACATGCGGCGAATGGCGCAAACAGCGGGAATTGTCTCTCCCGCGAGGTACGTATCGCGACCCGACGTCAATTGTTATCGCCGCCAAATATAGAAGCTCGCGCTCGCGCTCGCGTCGATGGCATATCGAGATAACGCGCGAGAAATAAGCACGAGCAGAGCTCTCTCCCTCCTCTCCCGCTCGGGAGGGGAGCGGGAATTTAATTTCGCATTTGTCCCGCGTAACGCCTGAACTTCCGGCAAAGTCGACGCGACGAATCCTCGCAGCTTGAATCCGCGAGTTACCGGCGAACGAGAACGCGCGACGAAAATGAGACGAATCGTCGTCCGTTCATCTTC